TTGCATCCACATCACGTTGAAACATCGGTTCCCATACCATCACAAAAATTAAGCAACACTGAGCCTGGTTAGTACCCAGATGAGTGACCGCTTGGGAAAACCTAATGCTATAAGATTGAATGTACGGGTGGTGTTATAAATAATGGCTCAGAGTTGTTAATCGGAGAGCCGAGTTCCAATTCCAGTTAGGTTTGTTATATACGCACTTATACACAAATAACCTTGGGAAAAGGTATGAATCCACCTCTTCTCCCCCAGCTATGGGTTTTGGTGACTTGTATCACTAAAACATTAATTAAAAAAATTCTTACAATCTAAAATATCTTCTGGCTTTATATAACTTGTAAATGGTTGATAAGCCGTAGAAAATGAATTAATTTTAATATATTTAAACTATATTATGATTATTCTCGGAAAAATGAGTTTCTTTAGGGAGAGTGGGCCTTCTGATTTTTTTTTTTATTATTATTCAAAGTTGTCCTTTTCAAATGATTTCCAACCAAGTCTTAAGAGCCCTGCCCATACTACTGTTTAACCCATAGGGGGGGTAGAAGTGATGTATTAATGCTTTTCCAAAGAGTATTAGTACAAACTATCTCAGCCAAGATTTTAATTTGACTCACCAATTCTATTTTTCACTTTCGTCAAACTGCATCTATTTCCGTTTTTGTCTTAGAACATAAAAAAATGTAAGTAAAACCACGATTCCTATTTACTGTATAATTTCAACTTATCGAATGACTATCAAGGTAGTGTTCTTGAATCACACGACTATTACTCATGATTCAGGGTAGTAGGTTTTTTTTTTTGGTTTTTTTTTTTCCATAGCTGTAAAAGAAATTTGACTATGCATGAAGCTATTAATTTGTGGCAAATATAAATAACTACAACAAATTCTAGCCTGAAATCATCTCGGAAACCATTTTTCACATGTGCTGTTCCGCATTTATATAGTCAACGTTGCAACCAATTGATTTACCAAGAGACCCGTCGCCAGAAGGTAAAAAAAGATAAACTTATCTGATTTATGTCTTTTAGATTCTGCATCCTCATCTTTTTTTCGGCCTCTGACACTTTTTCTTTCTTATTCTTTTCCCATTGCTGACTTCACTATTCTTTTTTGCCTATCTTCGATTTTCTCTGCATCCTTCCACACTAACCTTTTTCTTCCTCGACCTTATCATTTGCCTGCTTTATCTTCGCCACTCACCGAAATATCATTCATTTCGCCAACTTCATAAAGATTATATATTTTTAAATGTTTCCGGTGCAAATACACTTGTTTTATTGCGAAATTCAGTCGTATCTACATACTATCGCAATGTTTTGTTTTTTTATTTTATTTTAATTACACTGTCTTATGTCATGCTGTAAAAGATTTGCCATGTTGTTTATTGCCGGTCTCTTCTGGTTTATGAGTAGTTTCTATTGGAACTAACATTCTTAGTTTTATTTTTACAGTGTTACAGTTCTAATGACTCACATCTGTTACAATTATTATCTGTTTTTTTATGCAAAACTTAAAATCTTTTCTTTCTTCCACAGTAAGAAAAAAACGAAATAGACGCTATCCCCACTCGTGACGGATTGCGCTAGTCACATCACAGAAGAATTTCAGTCAGAGTGATTATTGAGTCACCATCTCTAGGCGAGTGAGCCCAGTCTGGTCCAGCTATTTCTTTCATAGCTCTTAGAGAAAAGATGGATTCGTATCTTTCCCAAAAATATGCAAAAATGAATACAACTCAGCCGGAAATTCAAACTGATCGCTGATTTCTCTTTTCGAGATGCTAACTGCTAGAAATTGTTCTAACAGAGGACGAAAAATGCTACACCGAAATCCAAAGACGCATTGGAATAGCCAAATAGGTTTGGTTTGGTTTGTTTTACGGCATATCAACCTCAATAGGTTATTTAATGCCGACAAAATATTTATTGCTGGTAATTTTTTTTGTTTCAAAAATATATTGCTGGTATTTTGTTTTTCAAAAATTTATTACTGTAGTAATTTCTTTTAGAAAAATATATTGGTGGTACTAAAACATTTTTACGCTTTCTTAGTGTTTTGAAACCAGTTTAATAGCCAAATAGGTATTCCAAAAGCTAAGCAAAGTATTAAGAAACAAAAAAATGTTCCTTAGAAACAAAGAAAAGGGAACTGAACGGTTACGTAATATGTGTCCTACCATATAGCAGTGAATACTGGACAATATCCTCAAAGACGAAAAGATTGAGAGCAACAGAACTGTGGTTCTACAGAAAGATTTTGAGGATATCATAAACCGAACAGGTGAGTATAGACGAAGTTTTAGAGAAAAGAGCATTGGGAGAGCGAAAGTTGCCTTCCAAAAACTAAGCCAAGTATTAAGAGACAGGATAATAGACAGGAAAAAAAGCGTATATTATATAACAGTTGACGCTTATATAATATCAGTACTCCTTTATGGCAGTGTATGCTTATTTACAGATAAAGCAACTTGAGGCAACTGAAATGAGAATACTACGAGATGAATGGAAGCAATGCCAAAATTTTAGAGAAAATGGAAACGAAAAGACTTAGCATCAAGAAGAGACAGTTAAAATTTCTGGGGCCCCATAATGAAGGAGAGCTTGAAAAATCTGTTACTCACAGGGCGGACAGAGAGCAAGAGGAAAACAATGCATAACATACTCGACAAACTTGCGAAAATGGATGGCGGGACAGACAATTTATTTAGAGCTTCAAGTGATAGGAAAATGTGTAGAGCCATATGTAATATTGTAAGGGACACGACCCAAAGAGAGAGAACCGTTACCCTCAACGCATATTCTTATCTTTTATCAAAGTTAGAGTCGAAACCCTTTGAACAATGAAACTTAAGTTTACCTATGTTCTGCTTTGACCAGGTTCAATCCTTCATATGTATGACAGAAAGGAAAAAGAATAGTTAGAAGCATACAACCGAGCCAAACAAACAACCTTAGAAAGCAAAATCTGACAACCATCAATCTATCATACAGATTCCTGGAGAACAAATGACATTAAAAAAAAGCCCAACAATAGTCAGTACTTTAAGTAAAACAATAACTGAAAGGAAACATTATCAAGGACGTCCCATGCAATTGTGGAAAAGGGCGAGACCAGTTACCTCCTATAAACTTGAGTAAATCAAAAACACATTCGCTGATTCAAACAAAACATTTGTTTTTGCTAATTTTACTAACTACTGATTCCTCTAGTTCCTTGAGGAACTTAGAAATATATAATAGGTCAGTTAACAGCTTGCGTGTTTGTGCATATTTTATGTAGATGCGTGTTCAATATGTAAAGGATAGAACCATACAAAACTTGAGATTCTACTACGGATGTTTCTTTTTATGGTGACTGTAGTGAAACAAAGTTCTCGGTGTCTCTTGGGTATATCCATTTTCCTTTTTAGTTCCGAAGTAAGTTAGGATGACAATGGTTAAAATGATTGAGTTCAAGTCAGCATTGCACTATTGGAACGATCAATTCACTTCATGTGTAGGGCTACAGAAAGTCGCCCGAACGCGGTCGTTGTAAGTGGAAATGGGAAAGATTCTGTCCCTTCCGGAAGTGGGGTCATAAAATAGCGCATATGGACAAAAAAAAAAAAAAAAAATTTCCTGTTCCTTTATTACTTGCATTGTGGGAAAGGATTTTTTTCTTTTTATTCTTTATTATTATTTTATTGGCTTTATTTCATTTTCCCACAATACCATGCATTATCAACATTTTTGTGAGGTACCAGAGCGATTTTTTTTTAAAACTGAAATCGGTTTTTCCCTACCTCCTACATTTTTTTTTATCTCGGTTGTCTAAACCTAAGAATAAAAAAAAATCCGCTTTGGTTAAATCTAAGAGAATTTTTGCTAGAAACAAGATAAAAAGTGCTGAGCTGCTATGTGATATCTGTCCTCCTTTATGGTAACGAGTGCTGGACGATCTCCTCAAAGTTGAAGAGGAGAAGCAATAGGAATGTGGTTTTACAAAATGATGCCGAAGATACCATGGATCGAACATATGAGCAACGACGAAGTTTTGGAGAAAATGGAAACTAATTCTTAACACCAGGAAGAGAGTTGAGGATTCTAGGGCACATAAAAAGGAAATAAGGTTTGGAAATTTTGATACTCACGTGTCAGAGGGACAAAGGAAAGCAACGCATAGAACAGTTGGTGAGCTTGAGTAAATGGATAGCAGAACAGGGCTTAGGAGAACTAACAAAGATAATTAAAAGCGACAATGAACAGGAAGTTGTGGAGAGCCATGATCGCCTCCGTCCTGAGGGGACACGGCACATGAAGAGTGAGAAGCTTGAGAATCAACCATCATTGTCAATTGGTATAAAGTTGAATTTCGGTTGAAGATATTAAAGTGCCCTATCTCCATCACATAATTCTATTGACGATGTTTACACACCTTTCGACTATCAAACATTTCTATGAACATTGTCTGCCACACGATTGTCATGACAACTACAACCCAATAGAAATTCACCCAAAATTTTCGAAAATGTATTTAGGTTTTATTAACGTCGACAGACTGTTTTGGTTTGTCATTGAAAGTCTATAAAATAGGCGCTTTTTTTTTCATTTATATCGATGATTCTCAAAACAAGTTGTAATGTCCCTTGGTGATGCTATGAACTCTCAAGAGGGGAGCAAATGTTCCGTGGAGGGTGTAATAGGGCATGCTATAATTTTAACAGAGCAGTAACAAAGTAGGTAGTAAAGGAAAGCGAGAGGAAAGGACTAAACATCAATTATAAAAGATGACATAATAAATGGTTGTCAGCAAAATAAAGAGACCAACATGAAGATTACAAATTGTAGATGCAAAAAAAAAAAAAAAAAGCAAATACAAACATTTAAATATGACACCAAAATCGTAAAGCGTCCCCAGAGCGAAAGATGCCTTCCAAAAACAAAGCAAAGTATTGAGAAACAAGAAAATCGTTATTTACATTTCAAATCACGAACACGTTTTTCTTTTGGCAGGAAAAAAAAACATAAGGAAAACATAAAATCTATAGCTGAGTTAGTAACAATTTATATAGTAAATAAACTTCAAACTATTGTCATAGGATTTCAAATTGCATTTACCTT